TTGTGTGTCGGGTGCAAGTGAAAAGATAAAAAGATGTTTATATTACACGATTTACAACTCACGATATATTATATGGATAAACTACGTATAGGTCGAATATTTTAAACATGTGTAGATATTTTTTTAATAGTATTTATCACATCATACTGTTTTTTTTTTTTGTTAAGTTCGTTCCGTTCAGAACAGGCAAAGAACAAAGCCTATACAGCCATGTCTTTTGTATTTTGTGTCTTTAATTATTTTTATATATCAGGCCGGAGTCATTTTTATTTTTTCTTCTTGAATCATACCATAGACAATCAAAGATTTTCAAGACGCAATTTTATATTCTGTTTTCTTCTGGTTTAAATGTTTCATAAGATCGTTTTTATTACTTATTACAAACGGGCTATATTTTATTCTAGTTTAAGATGTATCCTGAGTCTTATGAATCTTCTTGAATCACCAAGTGTATTGTCGATTGTGTACAGTCAATGGGGGAAACAAATGGAAGAATGATAATTAGTTACCACTAATCAAAAAGCAGAGTCTAGTTTCGTAACAAAATATTGTTTAAATGTTTATTATGCCTATTATTTTTACAACAAAACCATGTTTTAAATTTTCTGGTAGAAATACAAATGTAAAATAATATGTCAATATATTAATGTTCTTCCAAACTCATTAAAAATAATAAAAAAGGTTATATAAGTCAAGGAAAATATAATTTTTCCTTCAAATATAGTCGAGAGTAAATAAATAGATTACAAATAAACGACAGATTAAAAATAAAGCGAATTAATATAATTATCTCTCTATGAATTATTCAAGTTATTAATCTCAGATCTATCATGTACGTACAGGTATGAAAGAAATAGTTTTCATTAGACTAAATATATCTGTCAAAAAACACAATATTTTTCCTATAATATGCTACAATATTCCCTGTATTAATACAGAATATAAATACGTAATATTTATTCCTTTAATAATGTCTTAATAATTCTTTTGACAAAAATACTATAATGTACAATAGGACGTACAATGTTTTCTAAATATTTTGTATATATTATTATAGGTAGCCTGATATATTTTTGCTTTAAAAAAATATTGGCATAATACATTTAAACCATGTTCCTTAAATGTAAAAAAAAAAATTACTACAGAATATTTATCAAGTGATAAGCTATATAGAGATAACAAAATCTTTATATTTGTAGACTTTTCCATATCGTATCGTTGCTTGTAAATGGATTCAGGATCGACAAACTTTTCCTGTTGTAACGAGTTTCAAATTTGGAAAATCTACTTAGAGACTAACTTTGAAACTTAACTTGTTTTTCCAATTTTCTCCTCTCCACAAATCCGTGAAGATCCAACCTTATCTAACGCCTTAACGAAAATGACTTTATGGGGGAAAAAGCTTGTTTTGACAATATGAAATGATTAAGAAGTTTTAATATTGAATATATTAAGAAATAATTCATTTATTTATATCAATTCACAAGGTTTTACGTAAAAATGTCTATGACAAATCTATGAAACACAAAATGGTGGTATAGATTTATAATTTCGTAATCAATTGATGTTTCAAATCAATCAATAGCAAACATTAAACGACCGGCGACACACGGTAGGTATTAAAAAATATATAATTGTGAATAATAAAGAATTTATCGTCTGTGAGATCTGATGGCTAGCGAATGGAAAAATGTAAAAAGGCGGCAACTTGATTCATAATGGAACAAACATGGCGGCACTGATTGAGATCTGGCGGGCAGATAGCGGGGGGTGGCTAGCTTTGTCTTGTGATGACTATTATGAGTAAACATCTGCTGGCAATCAAGATTATTTGCATTGTTTGAAGGTGCTAATATGTGTTTAACAACGACGCTCATTCTAAAGTTATTAAGAACAGGCACTTCTGCGTAATTAAACTCTACGGCTGGGGTACTGAAATAAAGTACTATATCATACATGTCAAGCAAAATATTGCATTATCGTTATTTATATATCTATCCTTTATTTTCAATTATATCAAATAGTTTCAATATAACGATTAAAAATCACGAAATTAGGAGTAATTTAATGATTTATATGATATACTTCAGTTCGGAAACGAGTTGAGAATAAAACCTCACCTACATAGAAAGGCGATAAATAATTTGTTCACACAAATATTTCATACGTAAACGAAATTAGATTTTTTTTGTGGGAAAACAAATCTATCCAAAAAATAAAAGCGAACAATGACAAAATAGAACAATTTGCTTTCCACATTTTTACTACACTTTCTCTGGGGTGTATATTTTAGGTAACGTACAAATGGGAAAAAGAGATGTCTCGGGATATTTGAATACAATAAAAACTGTAATAAAATAAACTGGCCGCAATAATTTTTATTGTAAGAAGAACCCTCGAATTATCATTTAGATGGCCGGCTGGCAATATGGCGCGAATTCGGAGGGAAAAAATAGATGAAAGGCCGGCGCATTGTTGATACGCGTTCAGGAATATACATTTATTATTGTAAAACGATTAATATTGTTAATATTTACTAAACAAAAAACATCGTAATAATATTTGTGAAGGCAACTATTTAAGTATTCATAGCGAGTGCCGTGATTTAATACAGATATTAAAATTTAATCTGAATGTCGTCACCAACCAGTATTAATGACAATCTCCCCACAAGAAACCATTCCCTGGAAACACATTAGTGTGATGTTATTCTGTTACAGCCGGCGCGCAGCACGAGCGGAGGCGGGGTATACAACTATATATACATAATAATATCTAAGATTCTCGAGAATATTCATTTAAATGAAACTAATATTTTTATTTTTGATTAGAAACTACATACTCCCGACGTTTCGGCTACTTTACAGCAACCGTGATCACGGGCAGACGAGATGTGAGTGTCTGAAACCACGTAGTACATCCGAAAAATATTAGTTTCATTTATATACACATAATAAAAATCATAACTACTAATTATAATATACTATATATCCTTATACCTATACTATCCTTAGAATTATTTATTATTACTGATTAATACTGAACAATTATAATTCAGTAATGCCAACATTGAAAACTTTAAATACTTCAGCCATTTTGTAACACGTTACTGGATTTAAAACTGAAGATTAAAAGTGAAGTTTCTAACTGTATCTAAAACAATATGTACTTTACTTCAATTAATATAACTTGTACAGTAATTTAATATGATCAGATTTAATCGCTCCGCTTATCACAATGTCCTCACCCTTAGTATTGGGCTGAGTGTCGGGGGATAAAATGGAAACAGATTCAGTCTGATAAATGATTTCGTTACAAATGTTATTTTGATCTTTAGCGATATCCCGGGATTTGTGCAGCGGCCGACAGCTACCCGACTTTTGATTGCATTGTGTTCAAACCAGCAATTAATTGAGGTTATCCCTACTAATATTATAAATGCGAAAGTAACTCTGTCTGTCTGTCTGTCTGTTACGCTTTCAGGCCTAAACCACTGAACTGATTTTAATGAAATTTGGTACAGACATAGAGTTGACCTCGAGAAAGAACATAGGATAGTTTTTATCCCAGACTTTTAAAAGGTTCTCTTGGTAACGCGATATAACCGAACTCCACGCGGGCGAAGCTGCGGGCGGAAAGCTAGTATTATTATAAAGACGATAACATTTATGTATCAACAAATATTATAGTTACAAAACAAAGTAAACAAGTTTTTTTTTATGATTAAACGCTTTATATACAAACGAAATCAACAATTCTGCTTATAGTATCACTATGTCTATATAACAAATTAACTTATTAAAAAAAATAAACATTTCTACTCAATAAGAAAAATAAATTAAATGCAACTATTGTTTAAAATTAAAACTATTAGGCTGTTGTGTTTTGGACCGAGTTGCCCTGCGAACAAAAAGATGTTTCAGTGACTCATATTTAAGTGTTGCACAGATAAAAATAACCTCAAGATACAGATTATATTACACTTCATCATTCAGCCAACGTCATTTAGAATGGATAGTTTATTTTGAAGAATTCCTTAGCAATTAGTATACAAGTAGTTGAAGCAGCTAGATACAAGTTAGATTTCCTTGAATCACCTTTCACACCTAGATGTGAGAGTAATGAGATTTTTTTTTAATACCAATTTTATTCCATACAAGAATACTCCCGCCATTTTGCTTTTTGATGTTTATTGTATATGGACATGTTAAGCTAGATTTATTCTTCTTCTACTTCTTTTCCAATCTGATGCTGAATAGCATCTCTACTTTATGAGTGAGAGAACTTTCCTTTCCCTATTCCCACCCTTTCCTAAATTTTCCTTGTTCCCAAAAAAACTTTATTCAATATAGAAGCATTACACTTTCTTATTTGATGGTCACTTGAGACCCTACCACCGGCTCGGAAAAGAAAATACTCTGACCTGAGAAGAACCGGCGAAAGAAACTCAGCGGGTTTTTTTATAAATATATATATATATTTGTCTCATATATTAAACCTCCCTATTCCTAAAAATTTAAGGTTTGCATCGCAATCGCAACATTTACTATGTTGTGGATGTCCATGGGCGACGGTAACTACCTTCCATCAAGTAGGCCGTCTGCTCGATTGAAAACTTTTACGTAAAAAAAAATACTTTCAGTTAAATGATTTCTATTTCTTACCAGTTTGTAAGCAATCCATGCGACCGTAGTATTGTCTAATCGAGGTCCCATGAGTGGATTCATTTGTCCAAAGTATATTGTAAACCAACTGTAAAAACAAACGAAGTATTAGAATTGTATTATTATTATTTGAAAAAGATAAAAATTTTCAACCATCTAAATTTCGTATGTGGAATAGAAAATAGCAAATATTTCATAATCTATTAATATAAATTTTACTCACAAAATCCACATACAGAAAGCTGCCAGCATTATACTGCCTTGGATGATTCTAAAAAAAAAAATTATATTAATAACCAAAAAGGTTGTATTGTTGAATAATTTTAATAAACACACCCTCTAAGTGGACCTCTTTTCACAAGGAACGGTCCTATAAACATCATGAAAGCGAAGAATCCTGTTATAGCATATAATGGGGTGAGGAAGTACTCCTTGGTTTCCGGTTCCTGGTCTGGTGACTCCTGTCTTCTGAAGCGGTTTATTTCAGCGTCCCAGTCATTGTAAAAGCTAGTGTCGAACTCAACTTCAGATTTTTCATCTTGGAAGAGAACAGAGATGAAGTAATATTGTAAATTAATTGATGTGTATGAGAAAATAATATATATTTAATTATAACTGAACGATTTACAAACAAAGCGTTGTAAAAGTTCTAGTTAGTTATTTTAAACAGTCCAGTTTTTTCGTATATGGAATTAGATTTACAACGATCATTGTATATTCTGCCAATGAACAAACAAAAAATCAAGTAACTACCTTCCAACAGTCCACCGTCCATATTAATTTGTTATTTTTATAAAATTTTATATAATTTTTATCCGTTTATTAAAATCACACATCCACTGACAGAAACTGAGAAGTCATTCAATATATTTTTTAAATCACCACAAAGGTTTTATGCGAACTCCACGTTGACGTTTAAAAAAGTTTCGATATAGGAAATATTATGCCAATATTAATGATAATAATGTAATAAAAATGTTATATAAATAATAATAAGGTTAGTACATGAGACAGCTCGTTCCCATTTCCCCAGGCTGTATCAATATAATATCTGATCGATGGAGGCAAGCCTGGCCTGTAATGACTCAATTATCCGCTTAGAGGGGGCGTGGAACACTACACTATGTCTTCATTACAAAAGAACACTAGCTATGGAGATCGTTTTAATATTATTTTTACTTAAAATAATCTTTAATACATCTCTATACAAACTCTTGACATTACTATATAGATAACGAATTTTAAATGATAAAACAGAGTTAATATCTATTCCTCATTTTAGCAAAGTTATAGCGTTAAAAATGTATTTAAATAGAAAAATATAATAATTTTAAAAATAAAATTCCATTTAAATATAATTCCGTCTTCATACTATGTATCGTTGCGCACACGCAGCGGTCTAGCGCGCTATCTCTGCGCGGGAAATACTTGCAAAGAATTTATTGGCGATACCGATAGTCGTGATGAGCATTTATGGTACATTTCCAGCGTCTAACCATAGTCTACTAAACGTTATCTCCAACAATCACTGCACCGACTAACCCGCGGGGTCATGAATTGATTTTTAGGATACAATTTTGTATATCCGATGTTATCAGCGCGGTAGTCTTTTTAATCAAAATGGCTCAATTTCGTAGATGAAAATAAAAATCAACATCAATAATTATTATTGATGGAAAGTTTATCATAATTTGTTTTGTAAGTTATGTATATGGATTATTATTGATGTTTTGAGGTTTATGTCAACATTAGGTAAGTTTATTATTCTTCATAATAGAGGTTTTAAACGTATAAGTAACGGAACATCTTGCAGAAACCAAACGATTTCATATCAATAAAGGAACATTAAATTTAATAATTTTGGTTGAATCTTAATGACTTTTTTAATGGAAAATTTAAGTTTCTAGAAGCCCAGTTTCGTATTCCCTATTTTACTATATACAATAGGGTAATTGTTCTTTTAGGTGTTAATATTGTGTTGTCATAAAACATGCCAAAATGGCGGATCGTTTTGACAGATGTCAGTCTAAGGGTCGGGTCAAGCGGCCCTGAGTTCAATTTCCGGACCAAAAAGGATGTTTTACGATATGAATTTTGATATTCCATCAGTTTAAACCTATCAAATATACGTCAGTTGAAGTGCTTGGGTTGATATCAATGTTGTAAGCGTACAATATTAAAAGATATGTGTAGATAATGCAATAAAAACAATAAATGTGTTTCAATATATTGATTTTCATACAATATTATATCTTGCTTCTAAGTGATTTTAGTATTATGTAAACTATTATTTAATGAAACATTTAGACCAGGTGCAATTCTCGTCCCGTGTAAATCGTAGCATACATACAAGTACTCGTATAGTCGATTGAAAAATAATTGATTTCCGTTATAACCTTCTAGTTATCTAATTTGTAAAAAAAAAACAGAAAGATAGGTTTTGATAACAAGACTAATTAGATTTTTTTTATTATAATATAAATTCACATTGTAAAAGTTACAATATGTACAGTTGATAATTACTCATTTTTAAATGAAGTTCCTTATATATAACACCCTAGCCGGGTTTACCAGAATGAAAAAAGAAAAAAACTGTCAAAAAATTCATCCAATAAAAGTGTATATCATCTTACTTTAGAATATTCTTGTATTTATAAGTCTCAGCGTCATACATTCAGCCACACCGACCGTCCGGAACAAGTCACTATGAATAAATCACCAGTGATTTATATACATACGAGACTCTCTGTTTCTGAACACTTACACAACTGAAACGATTTTACTATTTAAAATTATTGTTGTCATATCTCACGGGTGCTTTTTTAAATATTATATCTTCAATTATAATGTTTGTCAGATTGATAATTATTTTTATATGATAATATTTAAAACAAAGACGCTTTTAATTTTTTTAATTCATTTTTTTAATAATTAAAATCCTTTCACGTTTATTACCTTTGTAAAGTATGTTTTGATAATGATATTTAAGCTTCTAAATTTAGAATAACATATGCGATACGTTTTTCCAGTACTTCTATTGATTACAAGATTATCATTTTATTAGACTATGGTACACCTTCATTCTTAATGAGATTGTGAAATATTTTATCAATTTTAACGTTCTTATTTTATGGGTTATAATATAATGAGATCTAAGACTTTCGTGAGTATTTATTTAACTAAAACTAATATTAACCAATTTACAATGTGTTTTTTATTATTTTAAACTATATACTCCCGTCGTTTCGGTTAATTTGGTGACGAGAACAGAACATAATTAATATATAAATATAATTTTGAATACTGTATGGAGAAAAGACGAAAGAGTTTGTTAGAAGACTGGCGATTTATTTAATATACCAGTGTCTAGAACAATACAAACATTACGTAAATAATAGTTAATTTAAGCAATTTAGTATTTATTAAATTGTCAAAAAATATAAAGCTATAAGATACTATTATTAGATTTAATAATATATTTTCGGAGCACTTTCGTTTTACGATCAATTGTTGTGTTTGGCAGTATTGCAATACAGTTTTATTTGATATTCACGAAAAGGTAAACTTATAATATGTATTCGAGAAATTAAAACCTCTTTCTAGTTTAAAAAAAAAATCAATAAGAATAAAAATAAACTGGCAACAAATAAAATTATGAAATATATTTCGTAGTATTGACTTCTTGAAATATAGAATTAAGTTGTTATTGATGTAACAATGTATTTAAGTTTGTTGAAAGTAAACAAATCAACACGGGTGCTAACTCCTAACAATGGCTTACAACAATGGCTGACAACAAAGGCCACAAATCTTATTGGTAGCACCTTGTTGTTACTAGTTATAACATAACATGTTCAATTTAATATTAACTTGAACGACCGCTTGGACTACCAAAGGAATTATATATAATAAATAAATAAATAAAACAGTACATTTTCAATTGTAACCTAAAACAATATTTTCTATTCAGCCAGTAAAGATTATATTTTTTAATGTTTGCAACACCGAAGCCAAAGGTCAAACGTTCACATTACAAAACGGAATGACAGATGACAAATAGCGCCCCAAAAACAAGTACAGCGTCTAATTGCGTCAAGATAGTTATTAATATTCAATAAACATATTTATCAGCGGCGGCGGCGGACACAAAGGGGACCTAATAATTTAGTGAATATACAGTGTGTGATAACCTCTTGCCTTTGTAGCGTTACCGCATACTTTGGCACGTCGCGTTGCTACTTGTCTATACAGATTTGGACCCTGGAACAAATGTTATATATTTTAAACTAGCTTTCCGCCCGCAGCTTCGCTCGCTTGGAGTTCGGTTATATCGCGTTTCCAAGAGAACCTTTCAAAAGCCTGGCATAAAAACTATCCTATGTTCTTTCTCAAGGTCAACTCTATCTGTAACAAATTTCATTAAAATCAGTTCAGTGGTTCAGGCGTGAAAAACAGACAGACAAAGTTACTTTCGCATTTATAATATTAGTAGGGATATAGTATTTTTGTCGCCAGTAACTTACTTGCCAGTATCACCTGCAAGGAGTTTTTATTCGCAACAATTTACGCGCTCTCCTTTAATAGAAGAATAATGTAAGCTTATTTTGAAATAGCTTATAAATTTCATATGTAATATTAAATTTATATGGAGAATATTAAAAATTACGAAATAATATGTCAAAACATATAACATATAGTTATTTATATGCAGTTAAAAACGACCGGCAAATTAATACAAGATGCTTATCGCGACCTCTGCCTCTTGTTTTGGTTGTAACATCGACCGAACACGATTCACTTTATCTCAAGTTTGTTTCATTGGCTGTTCCTTATATATCTGTATTATTAATTTACACTGATAATAATTTAATATTATGGAAAATATTAATTTAATATCCACAAAAAAACGAAGATTAGAAATGTTCATATTTATAAAAATCCGACCAGCTGTTAGTCATCAGGTTATTTTTTTAATAATTCACCTTTACTTTATTAAAGTTTTTTTTTTGTATTTAATCAAAAATTTTATAATTTCGTTTCTAACATACTCTTAAATGTCATTTCAACCAATGACACTAAGTTTCAATCCATAATAATCAATAGAGCAAAATAAAATTTTATAATTCATTAATAATATTTCAATTTGATTGTCACTTGTATTACACGGATTACTAAAATTATTACACAAGTGATAATATCTATAAATATAATATTAAATGATGTCGCGTACATGAATCTTATCAACCAAAGTGTTATAAATACAGTAATTAATACTTAGCGATAAAAAAATTACTACAAAAACATTTATATGTATTTTCTTGTTCTTGTATTGAGACAATTAATTTTAAGACTCCTTCAAATAGGAACACATCTCATGCTATATATTATAACTATTGGTCTATTCCTCGGCTGTGTGTCATCTTTATGGGCCATTTTCGTCGTATATTTCGGCAATCCAGTGAAATATACGGTTGGGTCTCAAGACGCTAGTGTAATGCGTCTTCTGTTTATTATAACAAAGTATTAAATTTAGTTTCTTTTTATGTGTATAGATATAGATTATATTGAAGATATAAATGTATGTATTTGAAACATTGACCAATAATAAAGTTAAGTAAAAGGTAAGTTTAGTTTGTTTTTAAAGACTATAAGGGATTACCTTAAGTTTGGGTTTGTTTTGAAGAGTTGTTTTTATGATTACCTGAAAGAAACTAAGTTACAATGTATTGAACAGTAAACAACGCAAGTGAACGCAGCATGTATCAGGCTGGACAG